GGATAGTGACTGCCATGCCATGAGACATTGATGAACAACCGTCATGTCTTTGGATTTTGTTTTATTGATTCGAATGCGAGATTAGATTAACTGAACATTACCCTGCCCCAGGTTGAGTGTTAAGGTTTTGAATATCCGAAGGAAACTCCTACTTCTAGGCTCGAAGTGGTTGACTAGGGATTAACTCCTTATATCTCCGGTGTTTAAGGGAATTGAAACAATGCCTGTACATCATTGACGAGATTTTATCCAAAAGCATATAGTTTGCAATTATGGGTATTTCGTTTTCGTCATCCTCCCTCCAATATTTGCTAAAACAACAGTGATAAAGTGGAGTGGATAAAAAGTGTATGTGTCTGTGCTTGTGATAAAGTGGAAAAATGAGCGAATGCGACATAATTGATTCGGAAAATGCATAATCACTTCATTAATATTACCATTCAAAACAATAATGTTTAAACACAAGTAGCAGTTAACAGGAAATAAACTACAAGATGCAAGTGGTAAAAGCGCTCAAGGACTGCCAATGTTGAGGGAATCTGCTTGTCTGGACCACTGGCCTCTGGAGATGACCCTTGGAATCTTCGAGCTTTAGACACCTGAGAGGTTGACATGGACAACCAAACTCCCTTCTGGAAAAGATATATACCCTTTGTCAATCAGTTGTTGCACTTTGGCTTGGAAGGCTTTGCATTCTTCAGTCGCATGCCCCATGGATCCACCATGATATCCACACTGAGCATTGGGATTGTACCCAGGAGGGTAAGGTTCTGGCACAGGCTTAAGAGTTTTAGGCTCTACCAATGAATTTTGAATCAGATGTGGGAGTAGTTGACTGTGCGACATAGGGACTGAATGAAGAGGAGCATTCCTTCTTTCCAAATTGTTGTTGAGCCTATGCTGATTTTGGCGCTGATTCGGACGACCTCGACTATGGGCTTGTTGATTTGCATGAGGAGCGACCCATGGCTTGCAGAATGAAGCTTTAGACATGGCTGATTTCCCATAAGGATAACATGGCGCTGGTAATGATGCCTGTTGAGCAGATGAGGGACCACTGAGTTTTGCTGGTACATCGTGAGGATACCCAATGTTCGCTATGAGTGCGCTAGTTTCATCCTTCTCTTCCTCATGGAAATCATCGAAAGCTTCAATCTCACTGGCCTGGCTGCCTGAGGCACCTTGGATTTGTCCACTTTTGAGGTAACTTTCGAGGCGTTCTCCTACAATCACAAGGTCAGAGAAGCTTGATGGCGTACAACCAACCATTCTTTCAAAATAAAAGCCCTGCAAACTGTTGATGAACATGTCAATCAGCTCCTTGTTCGAGAGTGGTGGTTGCACTCTTGCTGCGAATTCTCTCCACCGCTGTGCGTACCCCTTAAAAGGTTCATTTTCGTTCTGAGATAGGATTTGCAACTGCATGCGAGTGGGAATAGTGTCTAGGTTAAACTGGTAAAACTTTAGAAAAGCGCTGGCTAGGTCCCTCCATGATTGGATATGGCTTCTTTCCAAATCTGTGTACCAACTTAATGATGCCCCACTCAGACTTTCTTGAAAACAATGGATCATCAACTTATCGTCATGAGTGTAGGGGGTCATTTTTCGACAGTACATCACCAAATGACGCCTCGGGCAACTAAAGCCTGTGTACTTCTCGAAGTTGGGTATCTTGAATCTCGGAGGAATCACCAAGTCTAGCACTAGACACATATCAGCAGCATCGAGGTCGGGCATGTCAGACACTCTCATAGCTTGAATTGTCTCCTCAAGGGCGCGAAGCTTTTCTTCCATGGGATCAGTCGTTGGCATCCTCTGGGGTCGAGTAAGAACGTTTACTTGCGGAGGATGGCCATCCGGCGGAAGATCATACAGTGGATTAGTTGTCACAGTAAATCCTGGTGGAGACTCAACATCCTGGCGGTTGTTCTCTGGCATAGCTACCTCAACTTGCCTTGTTTGATTGGCCCTTCAAGTCGTCTACGTTCCTCTTTGCTTCAAACTCTTCACAGCTCTCCCAAGTTCAATGGGAGTGTCGGGAAATCAACTGCGGGTTATGAACAGAGGATGGGTAAGCTTGGAATCTTGGTCAGGGAAGAAAATGCAAAATGATGCAGAGATGCTTATGCAAATGCAATGCAATGAGTGCACACGAGAACAGATCCACATCAAGGATCAAGGTCACAAATCCTGCAAGACAAAAAAGTATCTCTCCCCTTGGGTGGGCAATCTATTGGCTTATAAGAGGGTATCCCAAAGGATTTTAAAACAAAGTCCCATGCACTAACCCTCAAAAGTTTTCCATCAGAACGACTACTCGTAAGACGGTAATCCTTTCAAAGGTTGAACACAGAGTCATGTTTTAGCAACCTTTGGAATAAGGTTCTACAAAGGTCCTCAGAGTCACGGACTCCCACGTCGGAAGTAAAAACGCCATTACGACTACACGTAAGACATAATCATCCCAAAGGGGTCTCATCTGAGCGGTGGAATTCGATCCAACTCAACGAGTCCTAAGTCTCGCAAATCAGAAAGAAACCACCTCTTAACTTAGTGTATACTCGAAAGCTCGGGTAGAAAGCTTTATCTCACAAACCATCCAATAAACCCAACAGGTTAGAGAATCAAAGCATAAACAAATAAAGCAAATAAAACACAAATACGATAAACAAAATAGGCTTGGCTTGCTAGGTGTCCCCAGCAGAGTCGCCAGCTGTCGCTACTCGAAAAATGCATCGCGCAACGACGGGGAGGCGAAAAGAAAGGACAGAAGAGTCGCCACCGAACTTTATTTATCCCATGAGGGGAAAGGAAAATATCGAGAAAACCTTAAGAAAGAAAAATGGATAAGATGGTCTCGCAACCATGAACGGGTTCGGAAGCCGGTTATGCGAAGGGAAGGTATTAGCACCCCTCGCATCCATCGTACTCGATGGGAACCTTTTGTTTGTCGATGTGGATTTATTTGCTTAAATATTATGCTATAAAGAATGTTCTAAAAGATAGAGAGAAGGGTTTAGAAACGGGGAAAGAGAGGTGACGAGGGAAAGAAAGGACTCGATAGGACTTCGCGGTCCTAGGCCTACGTATTCTCAACAGATATGAGAAAGTCAGAGTCGACGTAGTTCGGGAAACTACGGGTGATGGGGGAATGTGCTCGGCAAGGATTGTGGCCCTTGTGCCTACGTATCTTTACTTGAAAAAGTAAAGAATCAGAGCAGCCGTAGTTCGGCCTACGGTGTGCGGGAAAGCGGGGAAGTTCTGGTAGACGATGCTATCGTGCGCATTCTAGCAGTTAGGCGTATTGCTGCTCGCTCGTTGGAGACTTAGGCGTTACCTGTTTGCGGTAGAACGGACGTAGCATGCCTTTCTGGGAAAGGGTGGAAAAAGAAAAGGGTGCTCGCTAGGATCATTGCAATCCTATGCCTACGTATTCTCAACATGCAAGAGAAATCAGAGCAACGTAGTTCGTGCCTACGGTGCGGATAACCGGTGGGTTTTGTGGATGATGTTATCGTACGCGTTCTAGCAGTTTAGGTGTTTTGCTGCTCGCTCGTTGGAGACTTAGGCGTACCTGTTTGCGGTAGAACGGACGTAACATATCCTTTGGGAGATTGGTTTTCGCCATGCGAGGCAAGGTATCATGTTTGATTGGTTGAGATTGTTTTTGGGGCGAGATAGGTCCTCGGATAGTAACCCCTACGGGTAGTACCCAATTCTTTATCTCAAGGTTTTTGTTATGAAATGGTGTGGCGAACGAGGCGTCTTTGTATTGAAAGACGAGCGTCGAAACCACCCTCACTACAGTGGGCATCCCATCACTCGGAGAAGAAGAGGTCTACACCCAATCCTCTCTCTTTAATTCAATGCAAAGAGAACTTCGTTCTCTTATTAAAGATGTTTTTGGTTTTGAATGGTAAGTGCTTTGCGACAAAGAACCCTACGGTAAACGTCAGCACTCGGGATAGGAGAAGGCCTACGCCTAACCACTCCACGACCATTCAAGATTTTGTTACGAAAATATTTGAAAATGCACTCGGTACAGGACCGAGGTTTTAGGTGTGAAAATTGCGGAAGGAAGTTGTGAAAGCGAGATGGTGGATAAAGTCGCGTCTTCGTATTGAAAGACGAATATCAAGACCACCCTCACTACAGTGGGCATCCCAACATTCGGAGAGGAAGAGGTCTACACCTAGTCCTCTCTTTTTAATTCAATACAAAGAGAAATCAATTTATTATTGAAAGTAGACTCGGTACGAGACCGAGGTTTTATGAGGAAATGTTGGAAGCGCCTTTGTATTGACGGCCGAGCATCGAGACCACCCTCACTACAGTGGGCATCCCTACGCTCGAAGAAGAAGGGGTCTACACCCAATCCCCTCATTTAATTCAATACAAAGAATTGATTTTAGGGAGATGAGATTTGAAAATGGATGGGAAGCGTCTTCGCATTGAAAGACGAGTGTCGAAACCACCCTCACTACAGTGGGCATCCCAACACTCGGAGAGGAAGAAAGTCTACACTTAATCCCCTCTTTTTAATTCAATACAAAGATAATTGGATTTTGAAGATGGTTTGTCAATGCTTTTGAATTGAGTTGGGACAAGTGACGAAGAGAGAAAAGAGGTGGTCTCAGATCCAACATTACTTATCAATAATTTGACTGGTAATGAATTACGGAGGTCTCGTCATCGACCAAAAACAGAAAATGGGACAAAGTGTCCAATAACAAATGCGAAATAGAATGCTATAAACTTCTAAATGTAAATTTGAAATGAAATTCTAAAAAAAAAACTATAACATAAAATATGATATAACAAATTTAACATGGACTAGAAAGTAATATAAAGTTCTAACAACATATATAATATAAAAATGTATATATAAAATAAACAAAACAGTTTTTTTTTTAGAAAAAGATAATTTACAAAATAAATATAAAATAATAACAATGATAATAATATATAACGAAAATAAAAAATGGAACAGAAAGGGAAGATTATGTGGATACGGGGAGTACAACATGGGAATCACGGCTGGGATTATTAGGGTTTGAACGATTCTGATGATAAAGCCTATCGCGACGAGCTCTCTCCTTCTCCGCCTCACGTTTCTTTGCTTCGACTTCCTCATCGCGACGTTGAGGAAGTTGTCGTTGTTGCTGGTATCTCCATTTGGGGCCGAATTTGGGACGCGGTGGTGGTTCGCCATCAACGAGACGGAATGTGGCATCGTCATCGGCGTTGCCTGGGAAGGAATCGTCGAGGGTGAAATCGAAGGCGGAATCAGCAGGGTTTTTGGATCGGGTCTGGTTGTTGAAGTTGCGAGTCCAATCGGCGATTCGATCTAGTTTGTCGGAGCGGGAGAAAGGGGCGAAGGGGACGTTGAGAGGGAGGTCGTTGTTGTTGTTAGCGGCGGTGGTGGAATCCATTGGGCCCCATCCGTCTGGGTTGAGAGGAACGGCTCCGACATCGAATGCTACTCCTACCATTAGTGCAAGGTGGTTGAACAAGAGGATTTAGGTTGGTTCCAAAGTGGTCGCATTGATGCTCAAAGTTGATGTCGACGACGGTGTCGAAAATAAGAAGGCTATGGAATTTGTGAGTGTTGTATGAGAGCTGGGAATAAAAGTTTAACTGTGTGGTGCACCAGACAAGTGTTCTTTCACAGAATGAGATGAGGTTTGATTTGCAGGTGGTTGATTTGAGTTGAAGTAGTGCAAGATGTTTGCTGGGTTCATTTGAAGTTTGGTTCGATGAGTTTTTGCTGGGTTTCGAAGGAGTTTTCGGATCTGTTATGAAGGTTAGCATGAATGGTTGTGGAGTTAGAGCTGGGTTTTGAAGAGTTTTCGTTAAAAGGTTGAAGTTGATGGGTATTGTCTGTGGTTCTGTTTATGATTGGTTGTTAAAGAGAAGAGGGTTGAAGTTTGACGATGACAATTGATGATAGTTGATGCATTTTGTTCTCTTATTTATTGATGAAGTTAAGGTTTTTATGAAGAAGTCCCCCCCCCCTTTTTTTCTTTGAGTCTGTTGGCTGTGTTATTTGTCTTTGTGTAGCAGGGTAGTGTAGCAGAGTTTTGGCTGGTTGTGACAGAGCTTTGTCTGGAGTGGGCTTTGGTGCAGAGTATGTTTGGCATGGCTTGTGCAGAGCTGGTCTGACTTGCAGCAGGATGGTCTGGTGTGATAACAAACACAATTTGGAGTGTAGTAGCAGGGTTTCAAAATTGGTATTCTTGCCATTCCCTCAATTTTGATTTGTTGCCTTTAATGTATTGGAACATGACATTATCTCATATTGTGTATAATTATGTCTCTCCTTTTGTACTGAATTGGTTTTTTGTGCAGGTAAAATAAGTACATGGCCTTGTCATGTAGCAGTTGTGAGAGCATTGGCTCAATTTGCAGGTGAGAGCCTCAACATTGGTAGCAGGCCAACTTGTTGGATGGAACGGTTTTTACGGCGAGGACACTTAACTTTGTGTGTTTTATCTCATGCGGGGCTGCTGATTTTTATTATTTCATAACAGCTTTTTTCTGATCTTTGCAGGTACAATTCATGAAACTGGTAGTGGCTTGTTACACATGCTGTTAGTAGTGTTACTACAGCTGTGAAGTCCAAATGAATTGAGCGGCCACTTGTTTATTGAAGGTATCCCATGTACCCGAATGGTCCCCTTGTAGCAGAATTTTTGGAGGTTCTTTATTCTGAGTGAATATCCCATCTTTCTCTTCTGCACTTTATTTTGTTTTTCACTGTCCTGATATTTCCTTTTTTAATGTAGCAGTGGTTCGAGCTCCTTTTGCATTGACGGTCCAAAGTGGGGTCGTAACAGAATGGTGCCAATTTTCGAATCGTGCACCGCATTTGTATGCCGTGGTATTTAGTACGTCGTGGATGTAAGTGTATGTTGTCCTTTTGACAGGCTGCGTGAAAAAAGCCTTTCTGCTGCTGCGACGAGTCGTACCTACTGCGACAAGTGTATCTGTTGCGACAACTCTTGTTGTTTGTGAATTGAGAAACGAATATTCAGGTTCTCCTTTTTCCTAAAAAAAATTTATCTCCATTGAACTTTTTCATCCTCCGCTCTGTTCTGGTAGTGATTTTAATTTATGCGGGTTCTGCTGCAGGTACAGGTCTCGGTAATACTTGGTGATGAAGCGGTGTGGACCACTGTACCGTTAGTTTATCTCTTATGCTGGTATTGTCACTGCGTAATTTTACGGTTTGCTCTGTGAGGTTGGTCGTGGCAGGAAAAATTACATGCTATGGTGATGGCTAAGATTTGTGCTGCTTGGCTGGGAGAGTTTTTTTTTACACATTTTGGCTTCAAGAAGCGATTTGTTGCTATGCTTGTTCTGAAAATCCCCAAAGTCCTGTAGGTAGCATTTTTGGCCTTCTTAGTTACTGTTTTTTTTGCAGGCGGGGAATGAATTTGGTTTGTGACCATACGAAGGGATTTAGGCGTGTTCCTCAATGGTGTGGGCCACTTAGATAGTAAATCATGAATCAATTTTGTAAACTCTTGTAATAAACATGTGCCTTTGAATTGTACAGGTTCAATTTACAAATGGTCCTCTTGTATCAATTTGGATTGAAAGCAAATTAATGAGTTATGGCTTAAAAAGATGGTAATGGTTACTAGAAACAAATTGTACTTTAAAAACAAATATGGGCTTGATAAAGATGAAATGGACTTCAATGCTATTAATACACCCTCCATATTTACTTTGACCAATTCTTGAACTTTGACTTTCATGTGTAGTAAAAGAAAAAAAATTCTTTCATTTTAAAACATAAGTCCTTCTTGAATCTTGAACAATCAGACTATCGAACCTTGAATAATCTCTTAATCAATCTTGAAATTTGTTGTTAACAAGTGAAGAGCCAAAACCTTCATCATGAACTTCTTGCTTGTGCCTTAAAGTGACTCATGTCAAATAGCTTGAACCACGACTTAATCATAACATCTTGATAATTCAACCATAATAACATGACTTACACTTCTCTTATCTTTCATAAAGACTTATGACCCATTTGAACACAAACCAATAAAACTCCCCGACATAAAAATAGAGAATTATGGCTCAGGGCCAAATGATCGCTTAGAGAACAAGCACCAAGCAACCATCATTCGTGATGAAAAGAAAGGTCGGACAAATTAGGGGTATGACAGGTGGTGGACTATTTTCTCAGAAAATGTGATTGTTCAAGATCAAATTGTTTTATATTGAAATCCAGTGGTTTATCAAACAGTGTTCTATGAGAAGTTTGGTCCAGATTATTATGGTCAAGGTTCATCAGTCCAGATTGTGTTCATCTATCGATTTATTTTCCCAGAGATTAATTCAGATAAACTCAAAGAGATTCAGTTTTAATCGAAGATTCAGAATTTTGTCTGTACAAGTCAAGTTTGGTGAGTGTTCAATCAAGATGTTGGTTTTGGAATGCAAGTTACTTGAAAATGTAAGGCATTCATCATCACTAATATTTCCCAAATTCAAAGTTGTCAAGGGTTCATTAAGACAAGACAATTGTCAAAGTTCAAAGTCCAAATACAAATGCCCAAATGCAGTATGGAAGAGGAAAGTTGATGGAAAAGTTTCTCAAGAAAGATATCGCTGATCTGTTGGCAAATGGATTAGATGTTAATGCTTATGGAAGAAGGCTGAAGGACTCACTGCAGAGTTGATATTGACATCTTGTTATGATCCTGTGATTTTGTGTTGAAGCAGCCTTGTGTGCTGCTGGTGAACATTTCAACATTGGCTCGTTAAAAGCTGCAGTTGCATGCCTATACTATCTACAATTTCCAACAGAAAAGAGATCAGAAGGTTTGTTGCCCATTATTCAGCACATAAAATGTGCTGGTAGGGATATAGAATTGCTGGAAAGTGTTGAAAAGCTTAAGGAGCATCTGCAAAACAACATGGTTGAAGCTTTCATTGATGGATGGATTCAGAAGCGCCTAATAGGAATGTATGTAGACCGCTGCAAGGAGTTGAGTGAGGAACCAAAGACCAAAGTGCTGAAGAAACTTTACAATTTAGAGGTATCAGATGATGAAATCATTGTATCGGACTGTGATCTGCAAGATTTGTCTATAACACCATTGATAGATGCATTGCATTCCCAAATGGAATTTTCTTTACTTGATATCTCTCACATTTGCTTAGGAAATGGGACAATGGAGAAACTTCGAAAAGTGTTCACAACATCGGGTCAATCTTACGGTGACTTAACTCTGGACTTGCATTGCAACCGATATGGCCCAACAACTTTGTTTCAGATTTGTGAATGCTCTCTGCTATTTGCTCGCCTTGAAGTGCTTAACATTTCTGGAAACCGTCTTACTGATGCATGTGGATCTTATCTTTCAACAATTAAAAAAAACTGTACAGCTCTCTGTAGCTTGAATGTAGAGAACTGCTGTATCACATCCAGAACCATCTCTCTGCTTGGCATGTCCTCTCTCATGTTCTCCGATGATTGTTGACTTAAATACCGAAGAAACAACTTTTCTTAAAGTTTCTGTCTCTGAGAAACCAAGTGGACCAAACCCTGCATCACGCAACAAGATTTTTGATGGAAGCACCTCCTTCACACCTACTGGAGCATGTTTTAGTAGGTATGGAAACCTGGTTTATGTAGGAAATTCAAAAGGGCAAATTCTTATAATTGACAGTAAAGACGGCGAGGTGCGTGGCATGATTCCCATCTCGGGTGTTTCAGTAGTAAAAAGCATTGTATTAAGCAGGAAAGGACAGTATCTTCTGACGAACTCAAATGATAGAGTAATCAGGATTTATGAAAATCTTCTTCCCCCGAAAGATGAAATTAGAGCACTAGATGAACTAAATGAGAATCTCAATGATCTAAATGGTGTTGAGAAGTTTAAAGGCCATAGGATCAAAATGTCTAACATTATCCCGAGAGTTTCAAGATGCAATAACAAAGGTGCACTGGAAAGCACCATGTTTCAGTTGTGATGGTGAGTGGGTTATTGGTGACTCTGCTAGCAAAGGAGAGCATAAGATTTACATATGGGATAGAGCTGGACATCTTGTGAAAATCCTTGAAGGGCCTAAGGAAGCCTTAATTGATTTAGCATGGCATCCTGTACGTCCTATTGTTGTATTGGTTGCTTTGAACGGCACAACTTATATCTGAGCTAAAGATTACACTGAGAGCTGGAATGCTTTTGCTCCTGATTTCAAAGAGCTTGAGGAAAATGAGGAGTACGTGGAACGTGAAGATGAATTTGATTTGAATCCTGAGACTGAGAAGGTAAAAGGATCTGATGTCGATGAAGATGAGGAAATTCACATTATGACAGTGGAGAAGGATCCTGCTTTCAGCGACTCTGATATGTCCCAAGAAGAATTATCGTTCCTGCCAGTATCTCCCATTCCCGATGTTCCTGAACAGAAAGATAAATTCTTGGAAAGTTCTTCAAAACTGGTGGGCAGCAATAACTCTGGATCCACATTT